CCTCCTCAAGAAGTAGAATCTCCTTCTTCAACACTTGAACCTGAGATTCTAAAACACTACAACAAGCCATGGTGCTTGTAACAGCCCACGCTAACTTCCAAGAGCTTAGGCAGGTATGACCGCAGATGACCACTGACCTCAGCATACTGATGAGGAAATTGACTTGGCATATGAGCAGATCAGGATACGAGCTAGGTCACGGAACGGATTAAACTTGTAAGCCGAGGTTCCACTGTATTCGTACCATTATATTACCCTAGTATTACTTACATTATTATATTCATGGGAAAGAGCTTAACCGTAATGGTTATGTGATGCCTGAGGAATAGGGGACAATTAGATTTGATCCAACAAAGTTTTTTTTTCTGCTTCAGCAGCCACCTCCCACTAAGGCAGGGTGACCAAAAGAAAAAACATGCTCATTGTTCAATCAGTTATTGTCTTCCAGAAGCATACTGACATCACAATTTAGATTACTGTCTCTCTGCTGCATCCCCAACCTTCCTTCACGGTGCAGGCACTATCCTATTACCTCCAAGTTTTCTTGAATCCCTTTTTAAAAGTTACCTTACTCCCACTCTCAGCAGCATGTTCATTATAAAATATCTACATCATTCGCTCCTGTCTAACACTCACATAGTCATGCTGGATGCTCTCAAGTCCCTAAAACTCCAAGCCTTTTCTGTATTAAATTACTTGACCTTTTGAGGGTCGAGACCCCCAATCCTTAACTCACTCTCAGGGTCGAAAATTTAAAAAAAAAAAAAAAAACGATAGAGAATCTTTTCCTGATGGTAATGACTCCAAAAGTACGAAATTTGATGGAAAACTTACAAGATTACGCTCAAGTGAAGTTAGTGACTTCGGCAATATTTATGAATCGGCGATTTCGCCTACTTTGAGCCCTATTTTCGGCCAATTCCATTGTTCCAGTTGACTAAAATCATAGCTATTTTGCTAGCACTCCATTTGTTCTATCGATTGAGTACAAAAAACCGCCCATTTACCGATTTCAACTACCCAATAAAGTGGTCAGAATTTAGCAATTGGCCACTTTCAACCAAATTTCAAAAGATGCCAATTTTAAAACAGGGTCCAGAATAAACAAGACAGACACTCCTGGCACTAAAATAACATTTTTTCTCTGTTCATTAGTCACATCCCCAGGCCTCTCTTACATTACTCTTGCTTCCCGTTTTGAATTTTTCTCGCAAAAAATAGATTTACTGTCATGCAGACTACTGCATTATTGTAAAACTGGTATAAATAATATCAGCACACTTCTGAAAGAATATTAGACTTGCCAGTTGGCATGTATTGGATGCGTGGCGTGATTTGTTTACTCTTGAGCATCGGCAAAAATCGAACATTTCCACTACTTTGAGCTTAATTTCAAGGTACTTTTCATCGTGAAACCAATCAAAATCATCTCTCTTTCTGTAACATATCTTCCACTCTATCAAATGAGACCAAGAAAATGAGAATAAAACCATAAATACCATACGAAAATATGTACACTGCAAAGTCCCTGTTTTAAACCAAAAACAGTCGGATTTTTTTTTCTCTTGCACTGTGTGCTGCAGGATTCTTTTTACACTGTGCACACTGACCATGCAGACCCATTCTTTCACAAAAAAACAAGACAGGAGACTTCAATACCTTACCACCCTTTATATACAAAAAAGTGTCGCAAGTGCTGTCGCCAATCATTGCAACACTTTTTAACAAATCCATCGAATCCTCTACCTTCCCTACAGTTCTCAAAATAGCGAGGGTCACATTGATACATAAAGGAGGAGACCGGACAGACTTGAATAACTACAGGCCAGTATCCAACTTCCACCCTCTCTCTAAAATCTTCAAAAAATTAATTCATAAGCGAATCTATTCTACCTCATCTCCCACAACATACTCAACCCCTGTCAATTTGGGTTCAGGCCTAATAAAAATACAAATGATGCTATTATACACATGCTAGAACAAATATACACTGCACTCTAGAAAAAAAGAAGTCCCACTAGGCATCTTCATTGATTTAAGTAAAGCTTTTGATACAGTTGACCATGATTTGCTCCATATAAAATTGTCACACTATGGTATAAGAAGGCACTCCCTCAACTACCTAAAGTCATACCTCAGCAACAGTAGCCTATATGTGTACACAAATGGAGCAAACTCTTCTGCACACCCAATTACAGTTGGTGTCCCACAGGGAAGTGTCCTTGGCCCTCTTCTCTTTCTTGTTGACACAAACAACCTACCAAATGCATCGCAACTACTCAAACCCACACTATTTGCAGATGACACTACATACGTCTTCTCTCACCGAAGCCCAGTCATGCTAGCCAATACTGTAAATACCGAATTACAGAAAATATCTACCTGGATAATGACTAACAAACTTACTCTCAACATTGACAGAACCTACTTCATTCAATTTGGAAACGGAGCTACAGATGTTCCTCTTAACGTAATGATAAACGGATCACCTATCACAAAGCTGACAGAGGGAAAATTCTTAGGAATCCACCTTGATAATAGACCCAAATTTCAAACACATGTACAACATGTGTACAACATGAACATAGTACTATATTCCACAGTCAGCCCTCTTGGCCCTATATCACTCACTCATTTACCCCTATCTCACCTATAGAATTTGTGCATGGGGCTCAACAACAAAAAAAACCATCTCAGACCATTAATTACCCAATAAAAGGCTGCAGTCAGAATGATAAAAAATTCCCACTACAGGCAGCACACTCCGCCAATATTCAAAACTCTAAACCTACTCACCGTACAATACATCCATACTTATTATTGTACCTACTACATACATAGAACACTTAACTCGGATATAAACCCTCCCCTCAAACGTCTCCTTACCAACCTCAACAGAACACACGACCATAACACAGATCACTCTTTGATGTTCCTCGTGTCCATTTCACATTATGCAAAAACTCAATGCACATAAAAGGCCCAAAAATCTGGAATTCATTACCTGTTAATATAAAAGAAACACTGTCTGCTTATAAATTCAAGTCTCTTCTTAAAAATCACTTACCCACAACAAATAAATACTGAATAACTGTATCTCATAAATGTATAACCTGTGACCCTATCAAACTATTTTTTTTTAATTACATTACTTAACCCTTTCAGGGTCCGTCCCGTAGATCTACGGCTTTACGGTGAGTGTCCAAACCGTAGATCTACGCCATGAGCTCAGCTCACTCTGATAAACTGTGAGTGGTACATTTGGGCCTAGTTATGAGAGAATACATCTATGTGGTATGTGTGCACCACATAAAACAGATCCTGCAGCACACTGTGTATAATGAGAGAAAAAAACTGAAATCATGATTTTTCGATTAAAACAACAACTTTGCAGTGTTTTTTCGTATGTTTTTTATAGTTGTATTTGCGATTTCTTGGTCTCATTTGATAGGATGGAAGACATATTACAGAAATAGAGATGATTTTGATTGGTTTTAGCACTGGAAATGGCTTGAAACTGAGCTCAAAGTAGCGGAAATGTTAAATTTTTGCCGATATTCAAGAGTAAACAAACGACATCACACGTCTAATACACATCAGCTGGTGGGTCTAATATACATTCACAAATATGGTGATGATATTTATACAATTATTACAGTATTGCATAACAGTAAATCTTCTATTTTTTGGTGTGAATAAAAATTCATTATGTGAATAAAAAATCAAAATGGAATTTATTTGTAAAGCCTCAAAACATAACTAATGAACAGAGGAAATGTTAGTTTAGCGCCAGGAATGCCTACATTGTTTATTCTGGACCCTATTTTGAAATTGGAATATTTTAAACTTTGTGTTAAATTGGCCAAATTAACAATTTCCGATCACTTTATTTTGTAGTTGAAACAGTTGACTTGGTGATTTCTTGTGCTCAATCGATAGAATAGAAGTAATACTAGTGAAATAGCTAAGAATTTGGTTGATTGGAATAATGTAATTGGCCTAAAATGGGAGTCAAAGTCGGCAAAATCGCCGATTCGTAAATATCGCTGACACATCAAAATTCGCGAGAGCATAATTTCGTCAATTTTCCACCAAATTTCGTACTTTTTGTTTTATTACCTTCACAAAAAGATTCTCTACGATTTCATAAGAAAAAATAACATTTTTTTTTTTTGAAAATTCTTGGACACTGGTGCGTGACTCCAGATTTGGGCCTTGGACCCTGAAAGGGTTAATAGAATACTCCATTCTATTGAATGCACAGCATCTCGGCAAATGACCATATGACCTGACTTTGAAATACTCATTTGTGCTTAATTGTTATTTGTTTACTATAATTTTTACCACTGAATATATCATAGCTTAGTTAATCTTAAGTTAATTTTAAGCCTGCCCATAATGCTCTGCATACAAAGGGCTTTTGGCATGTTACACTTAACCACTGTATTTCTTTGTACATCTGTGTATCATGTCCAAATTAATAATAAGTAAATATGTAGGCCTACCAGCTTTCTTCCACCAGATTTGAAGGCGCTAGAATTTTGGTGTATAAATACGGGATTGACACTGGCTATCAAGTCGTACATGTACGGGACCGGCCCTGAAAGGGTTAAAAGTCAAAGACGGTATTATTATCAGAAATATGTGCCAAGCCAATGAAAGAAGCACCAAAAGGTAGGAGCCTAAACATTCAGCAGAAATAAGAAGTGGTGGTTCATGGGATAGGATGTGCTGTTGGAGTTTGAGTAAGGTAGTACAGTATCTATGAAGAAATTTTGGGAATGGAAGTGGGGGTTGCAAAGACTTGCTGGACTTGAGTTTGGGTCAACACTGAACCTGAAAACCAGTGGGTGATGGTGTAGTACATTTCCTTTGGGAGACACTACCTAAGTAGGATATGGCTTTAGAATTTGAAAAATGTATGTGTGAATGAGATAATTTTGGTTCAGGCTATTAGTAATGCTGTAACTCAATGTATTAATTTGTATTTCTTCTACAAGGAGGCGTAATAGCTCGTTGGCAGGTTAGTCGCAATGTATGGCAATACATGCTGTCCATTGCCCTTGCGTATTTTGTGACCCTGTGCTTGTATCCGGGCATAGAAACAGAGGTGGTGTCTTGCCGTCTGCACACCTGGATGCCCGTCATCATGATGGCAACGTTTAACCTTTTTGACTTCATTGGCAAGGTAATACACCATTTTTTATGTACATTATATGCTAGTGTATCAGTCATTTTCTGTGATGCTTGTTTTTCTACATCTTTATGAAGTCGTACCTGTCAGAGCATTTACTTTATAACTCCTTAAGATCCATGGACAGATTTGCAAAATTATTTGGGCATAAGCATGTTTATAAAAGCTCTGAAAGAGAGCAAATTATATGTAGAAAACAAAATGACTGTCTACATTTGCATTCAGAATCATTATATTGCACAAAAATTTCCATTTATAGTTGGGCAGCCAGGAAACAATTATCACAAGATGGATGGTCATCAGCTGTCTCACTCTGGTTGTATCTTTCTCAACTACCATTCATTTTATTTCTATTCAAAATATAGCATATACAGTATAGACATTCAAGAAATAATTTAGCTGACAAAATGGCATGTTGAGAACAAACCAGGCATGCATGCATGTTGAGGTGAGATTATTATTTTTCTCCTTGGGGAAGTAAAGAAGAATCCTTACTCCATAAGCCATACATGTCATAAGAAGTGACTAAAATGCCAGGAGCAAGGGGCTAGCATCTCCTTCTTCTGTATAAATTGCTAAATGTAAAAAGATAAACTTCTCTTCTTTTTCGGGTCACCCTGCTTCGGTGGGAGATGGCATATACATGTACGTATATGAAAAGAAATTATTTATTACATTCATGAGGGGATGCCAAACACTTATTATACTGTTAGTGGCTTATACACTAGTGAATGTATATGCCAATTACAATACAATGCTTGGGAAATGGGAAGCAGTTGAATTCATTTCAAGAAAGGGGAGGTCAGGTCCAGTTCCTTTGATCAAGAGTCCCTTACTGGCATCAAGAAACCTCACTAGAGGAGATTAAAATTTTAGTTTTTTCTCCTCCTGCCCAGCCCCAGGTCTGTGGAATTCTTTTCACAGGTAAGTTTGTTATATAATATTTTATTTTTATATTCTAGTTTTATTTTTGCCATGCTTGTTAATTATTGTATCCTGTACCCACCACTATTTTCTTTTACTATACAGTGCACTTTCCTTTATCATACAGCTCTTAATGACCCTTGCAGTTTTGACACTTTTAATGACTTTTATTGTGTATTAAAGTGCTTGTACAGAAAGAAACATATGTGAATTGCAAAGAACGAATGATTTGGAAATGCGTTCTTTGGAAGATAAGATTATTATTATTACATTCATGGGAATAGTGCTAAACACTTAGGGAGTCATACAGTGCCTAAAGAAATAGGCTCTCAGGCTTAATTTGAGGAAGGAGAGGTGAAGTTAAATTTCATGGATCAAGAGCACCTCATCAGTATTAAGGAACCTCCCTTGAGAGGTTGTAAGGCAGAAGAGTATGAGAAATTTTAATACAGTAACCATATAGAAATTTATAGGATATGGAAAAAAAAAATAGGTTCAAGTGCCAGGGGCTCGTGTGAGCATGTTCAGTGGGAGTGGAAATGAGCAGTTTTTATGGCTTGATGTACTGTTGGAGTGTGATCACAGTAACTTCTGTTAAGGGATTCACTGTAACTGAATCTTATGAAGCTGTAAAATACAGTGCCTGTATTGTGAAGGAGGGGAAGGGATGTTGCAATTGGAGGGCCTTTTAAACTGTGATATCTGTACATTTCTGGCAAGACTGACTTAATGGTGGGAGGCAGCCAGTGTATTAAAAATATAAGAAACTAGATTATGGAGCAAATTTTTAAACTAGCAAGTGACAAGAAGCCACCACAGTTTTAGTGAAGAGAAAGAGATGTACAGAAAAGACAAAATAAAATATTTTTCAAATAGAATACTGTGGAATGTTATAGTATTATATTTTTTTATTATCACACTGGCCGATTCCCACCAAGGCAGGGTGGCCCGAAAAAGAAAAACTTTCACCATTATTCACTCCATCACTGTCTTGCCAGAAGGGTGCTTTACACTACAGTTTAAACTGCAACATTAACACCCCTCCTTCAGAGTGCAGGCACTGTACTTCCCATCTCCAGGACTCAATACAGTATATTCATGAAAAGCACTAAACCTGTAATGACCATTTAGCACTACAAGGCAGTGAGAGAGATGGTATGAGCATAGGGAATAAGTAAAGTGTCTCACAGTTAATGGAACAAATTGGTACTGGGTGAGAAATCATGGCAAGTCTGCAGGAGAGGTGGGTTGTAGAATAGAAAATGGATAGAATGTACTGAAGGGACACAATAGTGCACTCAAAAAACCATTGGAGTTTAGAAAATTATGTATAAATTAAAGATAAATGAGGATCATAAACGTACTTCTGTAACTAATTTTTTTTAATAAATGACAAACTTTTGATGTCTTAAACATTTAATACATGTTCTTGAATAATAATTTTGGAACATTTAACAGATTCTTGCATCAATACCATATGACTGGACACGCAGACAACTGGTAAGCGGTTCTTTAGTTCGTATAATGTTGGTGCCATTTATGATGATGTGTGCTGGACCTCGGCTGTCACCTATCATCCCTGGTGAAGTCACTCCACTTATTCTCTCTGCTGTACTGGGGCTCTCCAATGGTGTCCTGGGCTCTGTTCCTATGATCCTTGCTCCAACCAAAGTACAGGATGAACATCGAGAACTTACCGGTAATATCATGACACTTTCATACTACATAGGACTGACACTTGGTGCTAGTATTGCCTATGGCTTGGATGATATTTTGGGTCAGCCACTACTTAATCCTTGTGGAGGCAAAGATCTAGGCTCTAGCTTAAACAAAATAATTTTAAAATCAACAGCTGTCGCAGAATTAACATCCACGCCACAAATTCCATTCCAAAGTGTGTACAACATCTCAAGAGAGGGAGTGAAGAATTTCTTCTGAAGTATTGTAGTCAATGTCTGTGTTGAGAATAGCACAGCACTACTCATAGTAACTGCCAAATTATTGAATATAAATCTTTGTAGGGTAACTGATTCACTGTCAAGGGTTGGTAAGGGAATAAATTTTTAATACAAAGAGTACTGTCAGAATTAAGTTGCCAACTAAATATAAGATATAATTGTTTATCACACAAAAATATCAAATGTTGCAGTTGCTGCTTCTGAATCATTATTGTGTAGGTAGTTAGTAGCTGAAACATATGTGAAGGTTCTTCATCTGGTGAAGGCCAAGGAAACTAATTATATTATATAAAGTACATAAACTGAAACACATTTGACTTGGATATATTAAAAAAATTAATTGGTATTTAGTAGATTGGTAAGTGCAGTAAAAGTCCTGTTATCAAACTATAGTTGAACTTTGTTAATCTGTAGTTCAATACAGTGAACCAGTAATATATATATATATATATATATATATATATATAGAAAAATTGGATATCAAATTGGAGAGGAGTAGTATGGAAGAAGTGAATGTTTTCAGATACTTGGGAGTTGACGTGTCGGGGGATGGATTTATGAAGGATGAGGTTAATCATAGAATTGATGAGGGAAAAAAGGTGAGTTGTGCGATGAGGTATATGTGGAGTCAAAAAACGTTATCTATGGAGGCAAAGAAGGGAATGTATGAAAGTATAGTAGTACCAACACTCTTATATGGATGTGAAGCTTGGGTGGTAAATGCAGCAGCGAGGAGACGGTTGGAGGCAGTGGAGATGTCCTGTCTAAGGGCAATGTGTGGTGTAAATATTATGCAGAAAATTTGGAGTGTGGAAATTAGGAGAAGGTGTGGAGTTAATAAAAGCATTAGTCAGAGGGCTGAAGAGGGGTTGTTGAGGTGGTTTGGTCATTTAGAGAGAATAGATCAAAGTACAGTGGACCCCCGCATAGCGAACTTAATCCGTGCAAGAGGGCTGGTCGTTATGCGAAATGTTCGCTATGCGAATTAATTTTCCCCATAAGAAATAATGGAAATAAAATTAATCCGTGCAAGACACCCAAAAGTATGAAAAAAAATTTTTTTACCACAAAAAAATGTTAATTTTAGTACACACAAACTGAAAAAGGCATGCACAATTACATGACACTTACTTTTATTGAAGATCTGGTGATGATTGATGGGATGGGAGGAGGGGAGAGAGAGTGTTAGTGTTTAGAAGGGGAATCCCCTTCCATTAGGACTTGAGGTAGCAAGTCCTTTTCTGGGGTTACTTCCCTTCTTCTTTTAATGCCACTAGGACCAGCTTCAGAGTCACTGGACTTCTTTCGCACAACATATCTGTCCATAGTGGCCTGTACCTCTCGTTCCTTTATGACTTTCCTAAAGTGTTTCACAACAGTGTCATTGTAATAGTCACCAGCACGGCTTGCAATAGCTGTGTGAGGGTGATTTTCATCAAAAAAGGTTTGCACTTCAAGCCATTTTGCACACATTTCCTTAATCTTTGAAGTAGGCAATTCCTTCAATTTCTCTCTCCCCCTCCTCTGAACCAGTTTCCCCAGGTCTGGCCTCTTGCTCTTGAAGTTGATCTATCAGCTCATCAGTGGTTAGTTCTTCATTGTCCTCCTCCACCAACTCTTCCACATCCTCCCCACTAACCTCCAACCCCAAGGACTTCCCCAATTCCACAATTGATTCCTCAACTTGTATACTACTCCTCTCAGGGTTAGCCTCAAACCCTTCAAAATCCCTTTTGTCTACACATTCTGGCCACAGTTTCTTCCAAGCAGAGTTCAAGGTTCTCTTAGTCACTCCCTCCCAAGCCTTACCTATAAGGTTTACACAACTGAGGATATTAAAGTGATCCTTCCAAAACTCTTTTAGAGTCAATCCAGTGTCTGTGGTCACTTCAAAGCACTTTTGAAACAGAGCTTTTGTGTACAG